AGGAGAAACTTCCTGACAGTTAGAACAATTAACCAGTGGAACAACCTGCCTCCAGAAGTGGTGAATGCTCCAACACTGGAAGTTTTTAAGAAGAGACTGGACAGCCGTTTGTCTGAAATGGTGTAGGGTTCCTGCCTGGGCAGGGGGTTGGACTCGATGACCTCCAAGGTCCCTTCCAACTTTATTATTATTATTATTAGATAGATAGATAGATGGATGGATGGATGGATGATAGATAGATAGATAGATAGATAGATAGATAGATAGATAGATAGATAGATAGATAGATAGATAGATAGATAGATAGATAAGTAGGTAGGCAGGCAGGCAGACAGATAGATAGACAGATAAAGATAGATAGACAGACCGACAGACCAACCAGATAGGAAAATAGCAGGGATAGGTGAAATAATGTTTAAAGCAGGAGGAGGGAATTAAAATTCCAACAGCTCTATATCAACAATTATTGAGCAACATTGTGCGATCTAGAAATTGGAAAAGAGGATGGAATATTCCTATGGAAGATACTGTAAAAGGTGCAAATTATTGAACTATAAATTACTTCACAAGCAAGGTTTTGCTTAAGAACTAATTCCAGGCCAGAAGGACATTCGTTCAGACAATGAAAAGAGCAGAATGTTATAAGGAGCACAGAAAGTTATTTTTGCTTTATTGACTGATCAAAACCATTGATTATATACAGTAAATTAGGTTAGAATATGGAATGCATTAAGACTAATATGATATTATGATTATACTCCTGAGGAGCAAAGACACAGTTCAAAAATGGAGCCTTGGCTTAACAGTAAAGAAAAAGCTATTTAAAAACTGGATCTTGAAAACAGTATTTTATAATAGACCGAGACAAAAATGCATTTTGTCCTCATTTCCATTTAATGTATATATAATAAGAATATCATAAAAATGCAGAGTGGAGAGAGATGAAATGTAGTGTCAAAACTGGGAGGGGGGAGGCTGAAGCACTCTTTAAACTTTGCAGATATGCCTATTCTTAATGAAAAATAAAGTAAGACCAAGCTCATTTGAAAGTGAAAAACATAAAGTGAAAAATTAAGAACTGATTTTAGGCCAGAAGGTAAAATATTGAAATAATATCAGTCGGTGCTATAATCGACCCACAATAAATGATGAAGAAGTGAAGGTGTAGACAATTTTTATTTTTCTGAATTGAGGAACATCTATAGACGGACAGCAAGGTGGAGAAGGAAGTAGATTTCTCCTACCAGAAGAAGGGAACAAAAATCTAGCCAAGAACATAAATGTGAAGGACATTTCTATGAAAATGAACATCAGAACAATTAGGGACCTTGGAGTCCTAGTAGACAATCACTAGCCAGCCGTGTGCACAATCCTTATATACAATCCTGTATAAACAGAGGCATAGAA